CTCTATACCCAGCTTCAGAATCAGAGTCCTCCTCCACTGCAGGACCATCGCGGCCTAGCTCGCCCGTGAATCTCCCTCTTGGTCTTACATTCGCGCGTAAAAAGAAGAACGCGCCAGCTGATCTAGCAAACACTGCTGAGAAGCCAGACACCCCCGACAGTCCATCGTTGGGAAAACGATTGAGTGGATGGTGGTCCGCTATGTCGCCTCAAGCCACAACACACTCCACAGCCCTCAGAGCTCGTCCCCGTGATTCGCCATTCAGTCACGATCGTCCTAATTCGATGTTCGAGTTCCGACCAAGCGGCGACATTATAGACGTCCCTACGGGAAGAAAGCAAAGTAGGGTTTTCGACGACTCGGATGATGGCGAGGGAAGTCAAGACGTCTCAAGGCGCAGACAGCAGCATAAAGGAGGCATGTTTGGCGACACCGATGCTGGTGTGAAAGATGCTGAGGATCATGGCGAGGCAGCAGATTTTGGGGACGACGAGGAAGACCGAGATGAAGTGCGAAATGTTGGAGTGGGTCTTGGTCTTGAGGGGCAGGGTTTATAGATTGCCTTCCTTCACCTTATACCTAGATTAGAATGTAACAATATTAATGGTAAAGTTATTCATCTTCAGCTTATGACACACTTCTGTTAAGGCTGCGAAAGCCGTATAAAACGTAGACAGTGTGTATGAAGGCGTGGTCTAGCATCATTAATTATCTCGCCTCATAATGATTCTTCCATCTTTTCCTAAGACTTACATCTCGCATATGTCCGGATGCTCTCGCGACGACGCTAGCGCTTACGCACGTGACAGACGCGTTTGGCAGGCTTGGCATGTCGTCATCGAGAACACGCTCTAAACGCGCGATCACACGGCAGCCTGCGCCTGTCAGAAATCAACTCGACGACCACTTCCACCCCTCCAAACAGATGGACAACGCCCCCAGAAGAGCACCATGGGTGTCACTGGCCTCTGGACCGTTCTGCAGCCCTGCGCGCGGCCGATCAAGATCGAAACGCTGAACAAGAAGCGCCTCGCCGTCGATGCCTCCATCTGGATATACCAGTTCCTCAAGGCCGTGCGCGACAAGGAAGGAAACGCTTTACGGAACAGCCATATTGTCGGTTTCTTTCGCCGAGTATGCAAGCTTCTCTTCATCGGCATCAAGCCCGTCTTCGTCTTCGATGGCGGGGCACCGGCGCTGAAGCGACAAACCATCAACAACCGCAAGTCGCGACGTGAAGGTAGACGAGAAGATGCGGTCCGGACAGCTGGAAAGTTGCTGGCTATACAAATGCAGAGGGCTGCTGAGGAAGAAGAGAAGAGGCGGAAGGAAGCTGCAAAGCATCCAAGAGAGGAGCCATCGCAACAGGAGGAAGAGATACCCGACAATCTGGTCTATGCGGAGGAACTTCTGCAGACGCCCCAAGAGCGAACAGAGAATCGCACCTTCAAGAAGAAGGACCAATATCACCTTCCAGACCTGGGCAAGTCCATGTCAGAAATGGGGGCTGCAAATGATCCCAGAGTCATGTCGCTCGAAGAGCTGGAGGAGTACGCACGTCAATTTGACAGAGGTGAAGATATCAACGTCTACGACTTCTCCAAGATTGACTTCGATGGTCATTTCTTCCAGAGCCTGCCTCCGGCTGATAGGTACAATATCTTGAACGCAGCCAGGCTACGAAGTCGACTCAGGATGGGACACTCAAAAGAACAGCTTGATGCAATGTTTCCAGACAGGATGGCTTTCTCCAAGTTCCAAATCGAGCGTGTGCGCGAACGTAACGAACTTACGCAGCGATTGATGAACCTCAACGGGATGAACGACGATGCATTTGGCGCAGGCGGGTTCAATCGCGTTGCGGGCGAGAGAGATAGGGAGTATGTTCTTGTCAAGAACGACGGAGTGGAAGGCGGTTGGGCCCTCGGAGTTGTGCTGAACAAGGAAGAGGGCAAAGCTCACAAGCCGATCAACGTGGACCTACCAGAGCGCCCTGCTGAAGAAGAACAAGAATGGGAGGACGATGAAGACTTCGAGGACGTCCCAATCGAGGGCCTGAACAGGCTGCCAAAGCCCAAGGGGAGCTTGAGCGCCCAAGAGAAGGAGGGCCGTGAGTTCATCGCGAACGAGCTTGCGACACGACGCAGAAACCTTTACAAGTCGAGGAAAGAGAAGCCAGTACAGTCTAAACCACAAAGGGCTACGCCGGTCAACCAAGATCCAGATTCGTTGTTCCTTGCGGACGATAACGAAGAAGAGGAAGATTGGGAGAACGTTCCGATGAGCGGTGCGAACGATGTGGATGATGCAGGGGATGATGTCGAGAACGAGCAGTTACAGCAAGCCATTGCCTTGTCAATGCAGCCCGAGAAGCAAGCGGTTGCTGAAGAATCTGACGACGATCCGGTGCGTGAAGTTTTTGAACAGAAGCGTGCTGCTGAAGCGAATCCTTTCGCTGGAACGAAGGGTTCTGGAATGGCTATCGCAAGGCTTGCCAATCAACGCAGTAACAAGCTTGCTCCAAAAGGACCTTTTGAAGGAAGCGACAGCGAAGAGGACATGGACTTACAGGCTGCACTAGCGGAGTCTCGGAAGTCCAAACGCCCAGTTAAACCAAGGACGTCGTCATTTACACAACAGGGCCCAGCACCAGCACCCGCTGTCAAGTCTACGCCAAAGCCGAAGAACGCTGCCGGTTTTGACGGGCCGCTACCCTTCGAAAGACTCAACCTAGGCAACTCTCTTTTAGGCAAGAAGAAAATGGACAAGCTCGAAGAAGACAACGCAGGCGGTTTCGAAAAGGACTATGGGCAAGATAAGAAGGATGCTGCGCCACTTCCACCGTGGTTCAGCGGCCAAAGAGATATTGCCAAAGAAGTGAATGCTCAACGGCAAGAAGAGAAGGAACAGTGGGAAGAAGCACGTCAGGAGGAGAAGTCCAGATTCCAGTTCCAGCAGCTCCCAACCCTTCGAAAGACAGAGACCAAAGAAGTTATTGATTTAGATGCGCCAGCTAGCCAAAATCAGGACCAAGTGATTGCAATCGACTCAGACGACGAGGCTGATGCACAGATGGAAGACGTTCCAGTTGAGGATACCAAATTGAGGATGGGCGATCTCGCTGACAAAGTCAAGGCGGAGCCCCCTAAACCGCTTTCTCCGCAGCAGAAGTCGCCTCCCCGCCAAGATCCTAGTTTGGTGAAGAAGACCCCATTTGCGGATGATTCTGATGATGAGCCAGTGGATTGGTCTGAGAGCGAGCCTGAAGATGAAAGACATGTACAGCAGAAGTCCACCAGTGGAGATAAGTCAGAGCCAACCGTTGTGCAGCCTCCAAGGTCTTCATCCGAAGAGTCTGAAGAGTTCGAGGATGTACCCATGCAAACAGAGACAGCCGATGTGACTGAGCCTACGAAGTCGGCATCTCCAGAGTTTGAAGACGTGCCTATGCAGGGCGAAGCTGTTGCAACAGCAGCTGTACAACCAAAGTCACCATCGCCAGTGTTTGAAGACGTTCCCATTCGCCAGGAACGACCACGTCGACCACCAAGGGAGCTATCGCCTTTGCAAGGTCCAGACGATCTGACAAAGCCTATTGTCCCTCACAGTGGCGTAGCAGATGACAGCGCACCTCTAGACATGCCTGAAGGTAACGACTCAGATCAGTACTCTGATCCCGAGGACGAAGAACTCTTCGCATCTTTAGCGAAAGAAGCAGAAGAGCATGCGCGATTCGCTCAAGAACTGTCCAACAACACTGCAGCCAGGGTCAATTTCGATGACGAGCTCAAACAGCTCCGCGCACAGCAAAAGAAAGACCGTAGAGATGCGGATGAAGTCACCCAGACCATGATATCCGAGTGCCAGCACTTGTTAACTTTGTTCGGACTGCCGTACATCACAGCGCCTATGGAAGCCGAAGCGCAATGCGCTGAACTAGTCACACTTGGCCTTGTGGACGGTATCGTGACCGACGACTCCGATACTTTCCTCTTCGGTGGTACGCGTGTCTACAAGAACATGTTCAACGCAGCCAAATTTGTCGAATGCTACCTCGCCCAAGACCTCACCAATGAATTCAGCCTCACGCGCGAGAAGATGATTGCAATCGCCCAATTACTAGGCAGCGACTACACAACAGGCATTCCAGGCATCGGGCCCGTAACCGCGCTTGAAATCCTCTCCGAGTTCCAAGACCTAGAGTCTTTCCGAACATGGTGGGATGGCGTCCAAAGTGGGACTATCAGGAAAGAAGAAGACGCAAAGAAACCGTTCCGAAAACGGTTCCGCAAGAACCAGGCTACCAAGCTCTTCCTACCACCAGGATTTCCCGACCCACGCGTAGCGGAAGCTTACCTTCATCCCGAGGTTGACAGTGACCCTGAGCCGTTCCAATGGGGCGTCCCCGATCTGGCTGCTTTGCGTTCTTTCTTGAGTTCCCAGATTGGATGGAGTCCTGAGAGGACGGATGAGGTGCTTGTCCCTGTTATCAAGGATATGAATCGCAGGGAGAAGGAGGGTACGCAGGCGAATATTACTCGGTTCTTTGAGGGGGGTGTCGGGGCTGGCGCTTTTGCGCCGAGAGTGAGGAATGCAGAGAGCGGGCCGAGTGGGAAGAAGAAGGGTACAGGGGCAGCTGGAAAGAGGTTGGGTGCTGCGTTGAATCGGTTGGCGGGGAAGGATGGAGAGACAGGAGATGGGGTGGCGACTGCAGGTGGAGAGGCAGAAGCTGCGCATGACACGACTACTGGCGGGACAGGCAGGAAGAAGAGGAAGGCTGCAAGTAAGCCTGTGTCGTTGGCTGAAAAGGAGGATGGATATGCGACTGCCAGCGTCGAGGAAGAGGAAGAAGATGAGCTTTACAAGGAGCCCACAGCGAAGAAACCACGGAAGACGCGGAAGGGGAAAGCAGCCAAGTAACTTGGAACAATCTCGATATCATCTATCATTACATCTACCCAACCCATATCTTACGCAATACAGCATCCGTTCTGATGTCCTCATAACTTCACACTCCCGCCCTCGATCTTCTTCAAGTCCTCCATCGTAAACCTCTTATAAGTCCCGTCCCTCAACCAATACAACGTATCCCCCTTCTCCTCGACAACCCTCGGATCAATCCCCTCCTTCTGCAACTCAACCTTCTGCTGCTTATTAGTCCCCGTCAACTGCATCTCCCTGGTAACCCGAATCCAAACAGGCATCGCAAACGCGGGCAACTCCTTCTTAACATGCTGCGCCAGCTCCGCAAGCAGCCTCTCCCCCACCTCACCAACCCCCTGCTCAAACACAATTGCCGCACACCCCGCGCGCCCGTCATGCCCGGGAACACTAACGCCGTATACATTCGCCTCGGCAACACTGTCGTGTTTGCCCACAGCCTCCGATACCTCAGCCGTAGACACATTCTCCGCTTTCCAACGAAACGTATCGCCAATGCGATCAACGAACCAGAACCTGCCTTCCGCGTCCCAGCGCATAAGATCGCCAGACCGGAAATACGCATCCCCTTTCGTCTTGACATTGCGAATAATCTTCGAGTTGGTCGCCTTCTCGTTGCCGTAGTAGCCTTGGAACCCGTCTTTTATATTGTCTGCATCCAGTTTACCGAGTAGCTCGCCGGGTTCGTTGTAGTCGCTGATTTGACAAAGACCGGTTTTGGGGTCGCGAAGGGGCTCCGGGGGATCGGCGTTGGGATCCATACGCACGAGGGTGAGTTTGCGCGTCATGAGGAAGTTGGCGAGGAGGCCGTTGCGGGCGATTGCGCCGCTGGAAAAGGAGTTTGAAGAGCAGTTGAAGAGGCCGCCGGGGGCTTCGGTTGCGGCGTAGAATTCGTAGATTGTGGTGATGCCGAAGCGGTGTTTGAACGGCTCCCAGACGTCTGGGCGCAGGCCGTTGCCAAAGGCGGCGCGGAGGTGGTGCTGTTTGTCGAGGGGCGAGGGCGGCGCCGAGAGCAGGTAGCGACATGTTTCGCCGACGTAGTGCAGGATTGTGGCGTGTGAGGAGCGGATCTCGGGCCAGAAAGTCTTGTGGGAGAATTTCTTGGATAGGTGGATTGTGCTGCCGGCGCGGAGGACGGCGCAGGCGCCCAGGACGGAGGCGGAGCTGTGGTAGAGGGGCATGGAGGTGTAGACGATGTCGTTCTTTAGTGACATCCAGCTTGCGGCGAACTTTGCGCCGCCGCCGCATTTGCCCCAGGACATGACGGCGGGTTTGGGCAGGCCCGTCGTGCCGGACGTGTAGATGAGCATGGCCATGCTGCTGCGCTTTTGGTCGGAGCGAGCCAAGTCGGGGAGGCGCGTCGGCGGGTGCGTGAGGATGGTCGAGGTCAGGGCGTCGTCGAAGAAGATGATTTCGAGGTTTCGCTGCGCAGTCAAAGGCTCAGAGACGGCGCCCGCTTCGACGGCGGCTTGGGGAGTCTGTGTCTGGTTCTTGACTGATTGTGGGACGTCGGACGGTTCCTGCTCAAACGTGTATTTGACCTTGTCTGCGTGGTGGACGCGAGTGAGGCCATGCTCCTTCAGCGCGTCTTCGCTGAACTTGTCCCTGCTCTCCTGGTCCACCAGCACCAAGCGCGCGGTACTCGTCTTGACGGTATGGACCAACGGCTTGCCGGAGAGGTTGTAGTTGATAAAGGCGGGCTTCGCGCCAATGCTCCAGAGGCCAAACCAGACCCAGATGAAGACGTCCGAGTTGACAAAGTCCATTGCGACAATCTCATCCTTCGCCACGCCCTTGCTCTTCAGCCAGTTCCCGTACCGCAGCACGACGTCGTAAGCCTGCGCATACGTCCATGTCTTGCCCTGGAAGATGATCCAAGCACGGTCTGCGCGCGAAGAGGAGTGGGCATGCGCCTCGAGTTCGTAGAAGAGGTTCAGCGTGTCGCGTCGTTCCTGCTGCGCGCCGACGATGCTGCTGCCGATGAAGGAGGACAAGAGGGGCCAGTCGTAGGTGAAGCCATGGCGGCCATTAAGATACGCGAGACCAGCTGCGGCGGCGGGCAGCGCAAAGGGAAGAACTGGCAGTGCAATGTGTCAGCAAGCTGCGCCGTGTGGTTACAGGCTGACGCGAGATTACCTGACATAACCGGTAACCAATAGATCTGGAGCAACAACGAAACGTATAAAAAAAATGCTACAACCGCGCGATGTCCAGTATTCGCATAGACAAAAGGAGAGACTTGACCAGATACAATCCACTCATCAACTTTCCGCGACACCCCGTTGTCGCCAGCTAGTGACGTTTGACCACACAGCTAGCGGCAGTGGGCACCATGGGAGCTGTGGAGCCGAGGCATTTAGGGGCACCCCAGTCGTCTCTCGAGTAAGCCTTCCCACCTTCGCTCCTCTATGCTGAAGTGGCTGCATTCCCCTCATCGCCCAGACATGGCCAACCTCTTGCGTTGCCCATAGCAAGCCACATGCTGCTCCACGTCGGTGGCATGTGAAGTATAGTAAACCATCGGCAAGATAATGGCTGCACGTCAAGTCTGGAAGTTGTGACACGCACAAAGAAGACATGTCAGTATGATAGTCAAACAATCTCATGTAGGATTGCCGCAAGCGGCAGGCACCGCAGCTGTTTGCTTCAGATGGCCTTTGTCCAGTACCCGGCCATCATGACAAAGACGCCTACAGACTACTGCACACTCAAATGCCGTCCGGCATCATGGCAAGAGACGTATCGGTTTTTCGCTTGGTCAGGTTCGAGAGTCGTCTGAAGCATAGACGTCTTGGTATGTTTGCTACGTGCATGAATGAATCGTCATCTGCTAATGCGCTCAAGTGAACAAACATTGTCACAGACCAAGACAGGCGCTTCCAGTAGTATTTGGCGTCTGCAAATCGCAACCTTGAGATAGCCCTATCCCCAGATCACATGGATATCTCAGCTTTGGAAAACGTCCCTCCAGTTAGCGAGGAGGAGCCGACACAGCGAGAGATCAACGACAGACGATTAGCTCAAGCGATCCGCTACCTGGATAACGAAGGAGGCGATGACACTGATAGCACTTACATGAATCACGTTGAGGGGATCCACGAGGATCTCCTCCAGCGACTTCCTCCGCAAGAGCGCAACTTCGACGACCAGCTGTATGAGCGCGCGCAAGCTATGATTCGTCAAGCGCGGCTCGAATATGAGGAAGAGGTTGCGCGAGAAGATTCATCGTCTTCGCTAGGCGGGGATTCTCCTACGTCGATGATCATAGAGGAGGCATCAGAATCCGATACGCCTTCTGCAACGCAAGCTCTTTATCGAAGAGGCGATACACCGGACGAACCTCAGGCCATGCCCCTCAAACAAGTGCCTGCAGCAGAAACAAAGGCACGGCGCGAGGAACGGTTCAAGTACGGTGGCCCGAACAACGAACCTGAAAGGTGGCACAAGAACTATCCAGCCTCGCTGCCGTTTCCAGAGACCTTCCAGATGGCGCATTGGGAGAGTCTCAAGATTGACTTTGATCTTTCCGAGTCTGGCAAGAAGATGAAGGCAGAGGGCAAGATTGTCGAGACCAACATACCTTTTGATCGCCCTGAATTGGAGCAGTACAAGAACCTCCCGGTATACGAGTCCGGATCACGCTTCAAGCTTCCGATACCCAGTGCCGAAGTTCAAGAGGAGATCAGCAATTTGGGAACTCCTGGAAGCCTGGAAGAGGTTGTGGAAGAATTGAACCAAAATGATGATAAAGTGCGCGCCGGCAACTATAAATATGCGCCACGAGTCTTCCTGGACAAATTCTCTGCAGGAACTCAAGGTGAGCAGTGTAGTTTTCTTTTGGATGGATCTCGCTAACATCAACCTAGTAGATCCTACAACGATCCGCGATGCTGTCAACACGACACCTGTCAAGTCTCGTACCGGTGCTATTGGCCGCAGTATTGATCAGCCACGCCTAGAAGACGAGGATGAGTATGCTATAGGAGACAAAGCTCGTGCGGCACAGTCAGCAGCTCGCATAGCGCGTGAAAAGGTCCGTAAGGCAGAAGAAGCTCTCGACGCAGCAAAGCAGGCGAACCTGAAAATACCTACACGAACCCCACAAACCACTTCACCTGTCGCTAGGAAGCTCAATCGAGAGCGCGCGACATCCCTCGAGCGTAGCCCGAGACGCCAAAGCGGTGTCAGTACTGCAGCTCCCAGTCCTGCATCGCCGGATAAGACTAGTATGCATCCACAGGTAGTCATTCCGAAAAGGCCAAATGATCGTCAAACAAAGCCTACCCAGGCTTCACCTCCCAAGACGCAGCCTACCCCAGGTCAGACCAACGTCGCTACCCCCAAGACTGCCACCAGAAAACAGCCCAAGCGTAAACGCAGTCTCAGCGAACAAAACTACACCCCCGAGACCAAGCGTTCCAAATCCATCGTCTCTTCCTCACGGAAAAGCAGCAGAACCAAGACGCAGAAGTCTCCAGGTAAAGCCGTCCACTTCCAACCCGATGAATCTGACGACTCCGACGAGCTTTCTGACGACGACCTCGCAAAAGATGTCCAGGAACTCACCACCGTTGTCACATCCACCAAGGCCAAGCCTACCAAAAAGACCACCAAAACCACAGCTGTTACGAAGAAGATGAGCAAAGCGGCTGCAGCAGGTAAAGCGGCGCGTAAAGCGAAGGCAGGGAAGGAGGTTGTTCTTGATGACGAGCATGTGATTCAGATGGCGAAGGAGCGGAGGTCGAAGTCGCCAGGAAGGGTTGTGAAGGGGAGTACGAGGAGTGGGGCGAAGTATTTGAAGGGGTGAGGTGGTGATACTTGGGTTAGTTGTATTGGTGGTTTGGGGCATGGAATGATGGGTTTGATAGAGTTTATTTCGTAATCATTCAATACTAAATTGTTTTTCCTGCTCTCGAGACAACTCTTTGGAAACTTCGCATTGTTGCGAGGTAGCTTCGTCTGAGTTGTCATCCCCGCAAATGCAGCTCCGAACAATAAGCGGGGCATCACGCTAGGACAAAGACAAGTCCGGCAGCGCACGAAGAAAGAACCGCCTTCCGCCAGCGGTGCCCATGCAGCGCCGATGCAATGGTGAGTAGTCCCAAGTACCCCAGATCTTCAAGCTTGGCAGCCTTCTCATACGATCTAGAACGAATCTGGTGCCTTCCATCCGATTGCATGTGAGTCCTGTCGCAACAAGAAGTCAAAGGTCTTCGCCATCAACCAGCATCGCAACGCATCAACTAACAGACTACAGTGCGATCGCGAATTACCGATTTGCTCGCAATGTGTATCGGCAGGGACTTCATGTCGGTATCCGCCGCTTAACAAAAGGTGTGAAGAGAGTGGTTTCTTGGAAGCGAAGCTAAGGTTGTAATAGAGGCATTCCATCGGGTTATATATCCTTCGTCGAACAGCGATTGCTCGAGACCGAGATTGTCGTGTTGGAGCTCCTTTCCACGATCTACAATTCTCAGGTACCGATTGAGATGCAACGTCTCTCTGACACAGATCGCCGTGTACTAGCAGAGAATGTGCAGAAGCAGGCCAAGTCGAGCAGGATAGAAGAATGGAAGAGCCTTCCTCTCAACACGGACGAGGAACGTCTGTCTTGGTGGTCAAGAAGACAAGATCTTATAAGAAAAGGCATTGAAGCAGGCAGCAGTCACGCATCTCAGGAGAGCCCTGCGCAGACGGAACCGTGGGTCATGGAGTCGAGTCCTGTGGTGGCACACTACGAGGATGTGCGGTCATCAGTTGTAGACGGATCAAACCTCCCATTTGCGCAGCAGTCTCAGTTGGCGCAAGCTACGTGGCAGTTGGCACCAGATGTACTCGGTGTTCCAGAACCCGCGCCAGGTCCTCTTCATCAAGGCCAAGATATGCTAGCTATGTCGCCGAGAGGAGATTTAGGAAACGAAGCGTATTCGACAGGCGATGGCAGATCAGAGCCTGTTGCACCCTCGGTGGGCACGTTGCTTGACTCGCGTCCTCCAACCACAGAACAATGGCGTAAATATTTTTGAGGTTGTACAAATCTTTGGGGTCCTACGTGTACTTCTCCATGTTGAAACGTATTATGTAAACAGCATGTAACAAGCAAAGCACACATTGACAGTGACTTTGGAACGCGAATTTCAAGCCGAGAAACTGACTCGCGTGGCACTAACCCCATGAGGCTGCCAGGGTTCCCGTCATAGCTTGTCAAGCGTCATCTTCGTCGCGTCTGTCAGCTCAACCACCTCCAGCCTCTTCTATCTCCATCAGCCACCCACAACTGCAGTGTATGACCGTCGCCACGGCGGTATCGATTGCAGTACGACTAAAGCTTGATATCCAAGTCTCATGTGTAGTGCTTCGTCGGATAGATGATGGCCGAAGCCAATGCGAGGTCCAACAAGCGACAGGCTCCTCATGATGAGTCGGAATCCAACACAGCGGTGCCCGATGTCGGGGCGGTAAGGAAACGTAGAGCATTTCTTCAGACAATGGGCCAGCAGCTTCGGGAATTCGGGAATGAAGGAACAAGCCCTCAGGATCACAGTCGCAGTACATTCGGCACCAGCCCCGGCAGCAACCTCAGGCCTCCATCCAGCGCAGGAAACATCGCCGCGAATCAGGCATCCGTACGTCATGTCGATACCCCAGAGAGTGATGCTGCACCCGGAGAAGATGATCAGCTACCCGCAGGTGCTGCAAAGAGTGCTTCAAGATGGCTTTGGAAAACAGACGAGGTACGCCCGCTTGAACCAGAGAGCGTCACATCAGCTATCGCATTTGATGACCTTCTCGAATGGAGTCAGTCTTACTTCGACCATTGGCATCCTGCCTTTCCGTTCCTGCATGCGCCCTCTTTACTGGATTATTTTCGTCAAATCGTGTCAAGAGGCGTTCGCATCGCATCTCAATCTACAGCAAACGAACTCCAACACATCATACTTCGCTCCATCATGTCAATCTCCATTCACGACCGGCGACAAATGAATCTTACACACAAGCTAGTGCCTACAACACTCGTATTTCATTCCGTCAACGACGCCATCCGGAGCGTCCAGTTGGTGCTGACTGAAGAGAGCTCGATCCTCTCTTTGCAGGCTCTTGTTAGCGTACAATTGTTCTTAATCACGATGCACAGGTACAACGCGGCGTCGCGTCTGGAAGGTTTGGCCGTTCGAATGGCCTTCCAGTTGAGTCTGCATCGCTGTCCGTTACAGTTATCAGTTCCAAGCAAAGAAGCAGAGCTAAGGAAGCGGCTTTTCTGGTCTGTAATATGCATCGATAGATATATTTGCATCCGGCTTGGTACGCCGCTCGGCATTAGGTCAGACGAGGCAAATGTCTGCTACCCACACACAGAGCGACACCTACGGGAGCCTGGGGAAGCTGGTATGTTTGTAGCAGATTGGGTTTCAAGGATTCTCGGCTAACTCACCTCAAGATCGCACCCGTGATGACCGACTAGATTTGTTGGACTTTCTAGCTCGCCATGCCGACATCCGTGGATCCATCATGCAAACGCGACACCAATCTATGCTGCATGGTAGCGCCGACGATGTCGATCAAGCCCTGGAAGTGGAGGCAGAACATACTAAGTGGTGGAATATGGTCGATGAACACTTGTCTAATGACGAGCAGACGCAAACCATATCCAAAGCACATCAAGTCACACTCATCGTCCTTCGCTTCGAGTCAGTGCTTGCTCTCCATCGTTCTGTGTTAGCAACGTCTAAGAAGAACGCTGCATACAACGCTGCGCTGCAACGCTGCATATCAGCCTCTCGATCCATAATCAACACACTACACAAAGCCCTCCGGGGTTTCGGGGCGTTCGATGGCTCACCCGGTCAACATGGATACGAAAGAACTCCTCTGCTTTGGCCATCGTTTACCTGGGCAGTATGGATGAGTACGTTTATTATCCTGTCTGCTGCTGCGGACGGACAGGTTACGCGCGACATCGCATTCAGGCTCTCAGACCGAAGCATTCAGATTCTCAAGCACCTGGCGTTGAGGGGTACGAGTTGGCCAGACGCATGCATAGTCGCTATCCAAAACCTTGTCACACGACTCGATAAGCCATGTAGCCGCGACCTTGCGAACACGTCTAGGGACAGCTCGCGGCCGGCAACTCATGCTGCTCGCGACCCCTCCATTGGCATGGATAACTGGCAAGCTCAGAGACAAGTAACAGCGAATCGTTCGGGAAATCACGTGGCCCCAAGACACAATCCAGCGACAGGCACAGTGACGCCAACAGGACAGCTCCAGAGACTCACCGATCAGCCCCATGCAGTACCATATTCCGCAAGCTTCACAACCCAAGCGACAGAGTCAACCCTATCTAACGCCAACGCACAACCTGCCGATATGCAAAATGCCAACAGCCTAACCTTCGACTATCTTGCGGGAGCAGGGAACTTTCTTGGTATTGCACAGCAATATTCAGACAACCCCTTACCCAACGAAGAGATCATGCATCTCTTCAACGGCGAAGACATCAATTACTGGTTCGGCAACGACCCTGCGATGACTGAAAATCCACTTTATCATGAACAAAGCTTTCATTGAGCGTCAAGAGGAATACTAATAATACCAATTACATACAATCAACCCGATTTCGGCGGTGTGACCTTGCCCAGCGAGGCTGACTTGAATGCAGCATGAATCTCCTGCTCTGCGCCGTCTTGTAATGGCAAAAGTCCACTTCGCACTGTCGCGTGCTCCAAGATACCCCTCGCCACCAGACCATGTTTGAGTGCAACAGTCCCCTCCATATGCGAGCCACGATGGTAAACGTTCCTGGTGACTGGGAGCAATCTGTCATGAACAGCTCTCGCACGAGGGTAGTCTCTCGCCTTGCCGGCTTCAATCATCTCGAGCAGCGGTTCGGGCGCGATGTTGCCGTACCCAACAAGCATGCCGTCGACGTCGAAGCATGTGTGTAGCAAGTACTCATCATGACATGTGAGGATAGTAAGGTCGGGGTTTTGCTTCTTGATGATGGGAATCTCGACGTCCCAACGGCGCATGTTGCGGACGCCGTTCTTCATAGCGATGACACCGGGCTGTGCGGCAATCTCAAGTAGCGTGTCCAGGTTGTAGGTAGCTTTGGTGTTGTCGGGATATTGGAACAGGATGAGAGGAAGTCCGGACTTCTCGTACACAGTCTTGTATCTGTCCTGTGGCGCTCCCGGCTGGTATCCGAAGCGTAGCCAGCCATGGCTGGGGTACAGGAGACCCGCTTGCGCACCAGCAGCCTTGGCGCGTTGAGCTTCGAGCGCAGCCACCTCAGTGCCCTCTGTGGTGATACCAGCAATGATGGGGATCTTGTTGTCCACAGATTTGACAAAGGCCTTGATAACTTCTACCTGCTCTTCCTGGGTGAGGAAAGTGCCCTCGCCAGCGTGTCCCAGCACGACCAGACCCTTCACGCCTGGGATACTGCCGAGCCAGGAGCCAAGGCGCTGGATGGCTGCGTAGTCGACCGAGCCATCCTTGTTGAATGGAGTAACCGGCGCAGGGACGAGACCCGCGAGGTCGATCTGGGGAGCTTGCTTGACCTCAGGCATGGAACCCATTGTGTTGAGAGTAAGTGTTGGGAATTGAATGGGGGGTAAGAGTTGATTGTAGGAGAGTGGACGAGTTTGATTTGCGTTGGATGATGCTGAATCTTGGATCGAAAGCTTGCGTTATATGTAATTCGCCCATCCATTACATGGAAATGCCGAGCGGCAAACGTTGGACGATCTCACTGCAGCATACGACTTTGTGCTAGGTCTCGAGCGCATGTCTGGCAGGCGGACTTGAGAGAGTCCGCCAAAACGCCATGATGAATCGCTCCGGTTTGCTCTTTGGAGCCTCGATGGAGTCATGCGAGTAACGGGGACTTGCAATGTTCCGACGTAGTGCCACTGGCATGAGCCGATGTGCCGCTGAGGCGTACCGGACATGTCTTTGTCCGCGCTAGCGTCTTCCAACCGCAAGCCGCTCTCCACCCTGGACAAGCCGACAGCTCTCATGGCCAATTACCTAGTCTTTAACTTGACTCGTAGCGGACGCCGCGGGATGCTCTGGACATTGTCATGTTCCCCATGTTTTCTCCGCGCCGCAACGAAGAAGTTGGGGTCTGGGGAAAGTCCGGGGTCAAGCTTGCTCATGGACTTTCTGGGGAACGTTCGTCCAGCTGGGGTATATAGAAGGCGCTTCTCTTAGGAGTGTGGGCTTTTCGTGCTGTTCTCCAGGATACTTCAGAATCCTGCACATGACCGAGTCATCAATCCTGCGCTTCTGAAGATTGCCAAACATGGCCAACGCAAACACCGACCGTTACGAAGATACCGAGAAGAATGTACCACTGCAAATCGACGATGTCGCAACATCCGAAAAAGACCTCAAGGCGCAAGCTGCGCTCGATGGCGCCGACTACACTGGTGCGATTGCCAAGACAGATCCAGCAGAGATCGCCCTGGTACGCAAGCTGGACATGCGAGTGATGCCAGCGCTCTTTTGCATGTACTTTCTGTACGTCACAAAACCCCTTCGATCTTCACATTGCTAACACTTGTGCTACCCAGCAACAAGCTCGACCAGAATGCGATAGCAAACGCGCGCCTCAACGATCTCGAAGACGACCTCGGTCTTGTCGGAAACCAATACAACACCTGCATATCCATTCTTTACGTTGGCTATCTCTTTGCGCAGATACCCAGTAACATGCTCATGTCGTCCAAGAAAGTGCGGCCTTCGCTCTACATGGCTCTGTGCTGCTCCATCTGGGGCTGCGTAGCAGCTCTCACAGCTCTGGTCAAAAACTACACTGGACTGGTGCTGGTGCGTTTCTTCCTCGGATTCGTCGAAGCCCCGTTCTACCCAGGCGCTCTATACATCCTGAGCATGTTCTACACGCGCAAGGAAATCGCCACAAGAGTATCTATCCTGTATGCCGGAAACATCTTCGCCGTCTCTTTCGCTGGACTCATCGCCGCGGCTACTTTCGCGACGCTGGACGACAAGCATGGAATGCACGGATGGCAGTGGCTTTTCATAATCGAAGGCATCGTCACAGTCGGCGTGTCTATCGTCTGTGTATTCTTACTACCGGATGAGCCGCTGACAACAAAGTGGCTCACACCTGAACAACGTCAATTGGCGCACGATCGTATCCAGCGGGACACCGTTGGACTTGAGCCAAGCAAAGGAGTCAAAGCGGGTTTCATGCAAGCTCTGCGCGACCCAAGACTTTATCTTCTGGTATTTATGCAGAATATGCATTTGAGCGCTACGTCTTTCAATCAGGTATGTCGCAATCAGCCATTCTTCGGATAACTCTCGTGTTACAGCTACTAACAAAACACAGTTCTTCCCTACTGTAGTCCGGTCTCTGGGTTTCAGTACAACCATCACGTTGGTCTTGACTGCTCCGCCGTCGCTCGTCGCCGGTGTCGTCGGCATATGCATCGGCATCTCGTCTGGCAAGTTCAACGATAGAACATGGCACATCACTGTCATGATGGGAATCGCAGTCGTTGGATTCGCTATCAGTGCTATCACGCTCAACACCGCCGCGCGCTACATCTCTTGCTTCCTCTTCGCTTCCGGTTCGTCGTTCCCTCTATTATCCCCGTCTTTCTTGACACTTCTACTGTGAGAAATCCTGCTAACATTGCATGTTTCAGGTGTTTATTCGGTCAACTCAGTGATTTTGGGCTGGGTGTCAGGGACACTGGGCCAAACCACGGAGAAGAAGGCTGTGTCACTGTCCATCGTCAATGTGGTTTCCATGGCTAGCTTCATCTACACGCCTTACCTGTATCCCGCGAGCGACGGACCGAAGTATGTAATTGCGATGAGTAGCAATGCGGCGTTTGCCGGGGCGTGTATTGCATCGGCCTGGGCGCTGAGGGCGTGGCTCCAGGTGACGAACCGGCGGCTGAAGAGGGATGGTGTCAACGTTTTCTACGCGTATTGAGTAGGCTTTTGAGTCTGATCGAGCTGTTCATATAGCATCCATGATTATATTGCAAAAGTATCAAATGAAAGTTCAACGCAGCAGATAATTACGAACGGGGGTATCATCAACGCCAATCATTAGAGCACCGAACAAAACATCAAACACCCCTCTACACCTCCACAATATCCGCATCCCTCTCCAACTCCTCACTCGCATGCTCCCCCCAAAGATGATCCATCAACGCCTCGATACCCTTACACACGGTATCCGACTTCCTGAACCTCGCGCAAAGCACACATGCAAAGCCCCCACCTTCTCTATGGCTCTTGACAATAAAGCGGTTCTTGATGCGAAAAGTTCGCGGTGCCGTAGTGCAATGACCGTGTTCGTCTTTCTTCTTGTAGCCATCGACGACGAGCTCCCAGGCTTTTCCGGGTTGGACGGGGACGTGCGTGCGGCAGAAGGGACACTTGTGGTCGCCGGTGGGTCGGTAGGCGTCGGCGAGGTGGAGACGGGGGTTGTGTTGGAGGTCTTTGGCGTAGATACAAAAGAGCCTCGTGCTGTAGCGTGAAGATGGGGGCTGGGGCTGAGGTTGAGGTGGGGGAGGGGGTGGAGGCATAGGCATGGGCTTTGGTTTGGGCTTCACGATTGGTATCGGTTTGATCAAGACCTCTTTTGACTCGCACGAGGAGCTGGAGCTGCTGTCCATGCGCTTCTTGTGCCGCAGTGGTCTTGACGGTGGTCGCGGATGGTCTGGTAGTGGAAATGCGCCAGGAACTCGTAAAGGTGCGTCGGGTTGTCGAGGTAATAGCGGTGATGGGAGTGGTGGCAGCATGCGTTCGTACTGCATGTTCAACGAAGCGATGGAAGCTGCACGCGCTGTACGAGCCGTCTGAATCAGACGTACAAGGTGCGAATGCGAAGATGACGGCGCCATATACGTGCTTAGTAGCAGATCCTGTTGGATATTGATGACTGTCTGCTGAAGCTTTATGATCTGAGACTGCAGCTGGGTATGCGTTGTAACTGGTCGACATTAGTACCTGGTAGTGTGGACTTGAATGAGAACATACCATCGCCACGCGCAAACGGCTCGCCCAGCTTCCGATACCCACGTTCGTACTCGGCTCGGATCTGGGAGGAAGAGGTGCATATGAGCTCTTCTTCGCTGTCACTGTAGTCGCCTTTCCTCTTCTCTGAGCCAAACATGGAGTCTCGACGACGCCTATGCCATGGCCCCTGAATGTGGTACTCATCTTCCTCGTCGTCGCTAGCTTTCTTCCCAGATCTACGCTTGAGCTTGCGGTATAGATCACTGGCAGAACCGAAAGAGTCCGTCAAGGTCCGCACAAGAGAAACCACGACTACAAAGTCTTGGAGTAACCCTTTGGCCTAGGCAACTTCTATCAGCACCTCGTTTATGCATGCGGTGACTATAACGTAACGTACTGTCTCTACGGCTTTTTCTGCTTCTTCTTTCATGATGCTAGGCTATGGAATATACAATGAATGCGGAGTGTGAAAGGTGACGGTGGGATGCATATTCAAACCTTGCGCTACAAGAACTCACCAGCCGGACAGTCATTCTGGCAATGTATCACCTCGCCGCAGTTTGCTCAGCTGAAGTTCGTGTTCGCATTTGATGCATCATGAGTACCTTTTTGTTTTGGTGAGGAGTGGTCTCATGACCGCGCCAGTTCACGTGCCGTTCAACACCAGATGACTTACCCGGGCTTTCTACAAAATACAAACCGAGGTCATCGACACAACCTATTACATACTGAAATCTTCGATGTTGTCTGTTTACTAGACGTTGCACGATCGTGCCCAAATCCTCAAGACTTCTTCGTGTTTGGCTGCGTTAGGTGGTTATCATGACTCGTGAGATATGCGGATGCGGCACATGCTCGTTGTCGCGTGCGCGTCACGTCTTAGACATTCGCGTCTCGTAAAGTGGCCATGGTATCACTCGTCCACATATACATTTGCTTGTGATCTTTTTGGTGTGGATTTGGGGAAGGATGCAAGGACTCGCTCGTTCGCAATCGTACTCGACCAGCTTGGCTAGCGATGCTCCACGTGGGTCCTACCTAGGTCCGGTCATATGTTGGATGAGCCCACTTTGGATGAAGGAGGTTTCGGAATGCCAATCGCACCCAGGATGCGATCCAGCAGCCCTGACTCGTGGCGTAGCATGTTCCACTCGTCTTGATGTTTGACCATCATCGTGCCTCCTAACGTTGTACCGTTCAGAGCGACGAAGCCGATCTCGCTGCCGTCATCGCGGTGAAGCATCGTGCCCTCGGCGCGTCTAGGCAGAATGACCATGCCTGCTGTCGTCATGGCAAGGTTATAGCTCATGGGTAGATCGCCGTCGTCAGTCGGGTGCAGAGCGAAGTCGTTCGGGTTCGCAGAGATGAAGGCGTCGACTGCGGCTTTCGCGGCGTCGTACAGACGGTTATAGACATCGAGTAACTGGGTACCTGATGGCTCAGAGTCGAAGGGGTAGGCAAAGTGCGTAAACGGCAGAGAAGGGTGTTGCAGAAATGCGGGATGTTGTTCTTGGATGCATGTTAGCTACGGCAAAGCGCAGAGTTGTCAGACGCCTACCAGTTGCCTTGGCTGCCGGGCTCGTCAAGATCAGATCTATGAGCAGGCCCCAGTCGCTAGCATTGTTGCTATCGCGCATTCCTTCTACGGGTAGGAACTGCAAGTGTCGGTGGGGCTGAGAGGCGCCGCTGTGGTCGCCGGAGTTGAAGAAGGCCAGAAGACGCTTCTCGTCGCCGCCCGAGTCTGCCTGCCATGCCTTCAAGACGGCGTAGGTCGCCTCCAGATCGTCCTGTTCGAGCACGTGTATTTGCTTCTTGTTGGGTTTTGTCGCCAGGATGAAGTGCTCGGATATTATGGGGTACTTGTTGAGGACGAGGAAGTGGGTTGGGTTGGCGGCTGGTATGTCAGCCAGGTGGAGGGCGGCTGGGGGGTTCTCGAACGGGTCGATCTTCTGTTTGGGCGTCGCATTCTGGAGCTTCGGAATGGGCTTCTTGGCGAGCGACGGGCAGTATCGTAATTGGAACTGCTGGCGTGTGAGCCTGGTGGTGGTGGTGGCAGGGTCGGCATACTCACGGGAATGCCTGCAGATGAGCGGATGATGGCTAGCTCCGTGGGCGAGAACAGCAGATCCGACGATGCCTTTGCAGCCTCAAACTTGCGCTTCGTGATGCTCGGAAGAGCTTCAGATAGCCCGAGAATCATCTTCATTCGTTGTCGCGTATCGATGACAGGTGGGGTGCGTGGGCAGTTCAACCGTTCGAGCTTCCACCGCGAGCTAGCGCCAAAGCCTAGAATTGTTTTCACACCTCAGAACATCTCCTTCACTATCGTCATCACGTTTGTCACACAGGATCTGCTACGACGTGCCACATTCAATTCAAGGGATATTATATTGTCAAGAACCCGCTCAAAAGACCTCCCGAAACGACGTCATGCCACCGCCATGCTTTGCAGCTTCCCCATCTAGGCCATGGAGGCTTCTTACGCCCCCAAGATGCTGCTAAGACGAACATATTCGCCAACATTACCATCAACATAACAATGGAACAAGGTAGTACAGACAGGGAGTACGACTCCGGAAGTAACAGAACAAAGATGCTGCCATGCGACAATCTTCTGCGCATTTGCAGAAGACAGGTGCCCCTACAGCATCCCTCGGTGCCTCAACAGCAACAGTAACGCTGTGCAGTCGGGGAACGTTCCAGTGGTCGCAGTTTGTACCTTCAAAATGACCAGTACTTGACACCAGTCAAGTTTACTGGAGGATGAGGGTGTGTCGAAGCCGTCGCTCGACATGCCCATGTATATCTCCGATCACTTGCGACCGTGGTTGCGCTCCAACCATTTCCTCTTGCACGTCGCGTTGCCGAAATGATACGATCCGCCGTTGTCGGCGATGAACTCTGCGACCTTCTTCCAAGCGACTTTGAGGATCTTTTGCTCAAAGCTTAGCGAGTACGGGTTCTGGAGGTTGCTCTCGATGCGATCAAACTCTTGCTGAACGGTCTCATTCAGGAGCTGTAGCTGTCGACGTGTCAGTCTACTATGACGGAAGTAAAGTCCCAACGGTCAGCTTACATCGATCATTGTCCAGACGGGCTTCCGGACGCGATCCTTTCTCGCCTTGGTCAAGGATCGGTAGCGGCCCCTCAGAGTAGACTCTGCAGGCTTCTCACCGACCATCTTCGACTTGATCTCCTTGTATGTCTCTCCTCTCTTCTTTCCATCGATGAGTAGCTGATCGTTGTGTTCTCGCTGGGCTTGGGCACCAGCACTGCGCGGTACCTGGAACCTATCCTGGATACGGCTCTGGAGACCGCCATCCGGGCATGAAGTATTCCAGGGCGTCACAGGATAGTGCGCTATATGAACTTCGTCCGTCGACGATATGCTCGTGCTACTGTTCGGGTGACTGGAGCGCACAACGTCGCGGGTCCTAAACGCTAGATTGGAGGTGTTATACGCGAAGTTCTCACCGTACCACGGAGAATGGCCAGCGCTACTAGTTTGAGATCGCGAATACTCGGATCCGGAATTGTGTTCATCTCCGTAAGTGGTGATTGGTATTTGGTCCCTTCGGTTATGATATCCGGATGGCACTGTGACTTTGGCCGTGTCCTCGTCCATTCTCGGGAGTCCTGAGTATCCAGTGTCGCCATCTGCGTCGTGTACAAGGAAAGACCTGCAGGGGGGTGAAAGGATGGCGGCGTTGGTGGTAGTCGCTGAAGGTACGCTCCAATTTCCGCATGGCGAAGATTGGTCTAGCACAGACCCTGGACTGTACGTGTTCTCGAAGTCATCGCTGCGGTAACTCTTTGGCGACAGTGATATGCTCTTGTCCAGGACAGAGCTGTTGGCGGTCATCCCACGAGGCAGCCCATGGAGTTCCGAGGACGGCCAGGGTATTGGGTCGCTAAAGCTCTTCGCGATACTGTTCTGTGTGATGGGCGTAGGGTTGTATGTCAGGACCTGATTCCGGCGGAATTGCGGGTCCGAAATTGGTACGACGTAAGGCTGCGTCTGTTGGATAGCATGGTGCCAGTCGAACGGGGGTGTAGGGACTCCGCTCCAGTGCTGGCCAGATGAGTACGCGAGGTTGTCGGAGCTCGGCGTGGCAGGTGCTGCGCCTGTCGACTTGGTGTCCCCCTGCTCGACCCTCTGCAGTGCATACGGCTGGGTCTGCACATAGTGACTTGCCTTCACAGTTGTCAGTTTCGGTGCCGCGATAGCATAGGCGTCACTTACCATCATTGAATCCGGCATTCCAGTATAGTCAGGGAAGTCGCGAAATTGATCCGCTGAGGTAGGTTCCGGGACGTAGACTAGGCGGGGCTGAAGCTGAGCAAGAGATTGAGGAAGAAGATACTTGCAATCCTGGGGGAATTCTTGAGCGAGAGCCATGACTGCTCTCGCGGCATCCGCCTCTTATGGGTACCCCAAGAGACGCTAACCTTACAATAGTATTGCAAGTCGGCGTGAATGCGCGATTACGCGAGGCCAAAACGGGCGGGATACCACCGCTGTGAAGTGGGCGTGACTGAAGATTGCGGGGTGCTGTCGAGATGTCGAGGCACACGGGCACGTTCAGTATTCACAGGAGTGACACTCTATCATTCGCTCAACGGACCTGACCGCTTCACGAGATTAGGCGGTGGGGATGCGGAGTTCGAGCGAGTACAAAGCTCTGCCAAGGTAGGTAGACAACAACGCTAAATCTTGCAATTTCCAGACTTGGTATTGTGAATGGTCGGCCACAAAAGTGGAGGAGACGAGGCTGGCCCTGCTATCTATATGATGCAACAGTGAGCCCACGCAAGGTACCTAATCGATACACATCATCAGTACGCTAGGCCAGAGCGGTTACGTGAAGAGAGGTAGCCTCACCAGAATGTGCCACGAGATCAAAGGGACCAGGAGGAGCCCAAAGATGGAGGCAATGATCGTATGGACACACGCAAACACACTAAGGTCTCTATCGGCGCTCTCTGGGTGGTGGAACGAGTCTTGTGGACAGCGGGGATGGATAACGCACACGGTGAACTGACGATCCGGATCGTACACCAACAAGACAAAGTGTAAGGATGAAGCCGAAGCCAAATGATGAAACAGGCCCAATCACATATGTTGGGTATGTAGAGGTGAGGGACGATCCGCACAATTATAGTCCAAGACAGCCTTAGAACCTTGACTGAAGCGATGAGACTCACGTTTGAAATAGGCCACACCCATGTCTTGCTACACTATGGTACGCGGAGTTAGAGGCCTAAGCTTTCGGGTAGACCCGCCATTTCTTTCAATCAGCAAAGTCTTCCGGAATCCGCGCGGAAGGGTAACGGGTTGTCCGTATAGGCTAGACCGCACTCCATTCGTGCAGACTCATTGGGATGCGAAAAGATTGTCAGAAGCAAGCATAACTCTCATCAAGCAACAGCACTGCCATCCCGCTACTCCGTGATGTTCAACGTGGCTAGCTCAAAGAAGGCAAATACCATTTGCCTGACGGCTGTGTCGGTCTACACTCCCCTCGCATGGCGGTTGGCAGACCTATAACGACGAGCTGTCAAGCGTCGAGCTGAAGAAAGATTGCTCGTTTAGTGCTAGCTGAGCTGGCGAAAAAAGTTCTACATCGTCTTGTTTGGCCGGCGTGCAGAAGCGAACGGTTATCTGCATGGCATGGCTTGGCAACAAGCCATTGTGTCTGGCGCACCAGTAGCAGACCAGCTGAGATGTCATGGCGTGCAGAAACGCAGGTACGTATGCAATCTGATGCGACGATGTTCGCTGGGTTGGCAGGAGCCTCGCGTGTACTACATGTGTCGTCGATCATGACGCTCACGTCACACATGCGCTTCGCAATCAGCCTTGGAGTACTCCGGACATCGCAACAATCCATTCCCACGACGAGGGAAAGGCCAAATCTGCTGAAATTCCCGGTGTCGGCTTGTCGCTGGTGAAGGCGGGGAAGCCTGTAAGTCTTTCCTATCAATACCGACTCAATACCGGCTAGACACTGCACATGCTTCGATATACTCACTAATGTGGCTAGTAATCACCCACGCATACAACGATCCACCTCCGAGCTCGCTTGGAATCCCCACGCCACCGGAAGGCCGCAGTCCAGCGACCGCCTGGTACCGGTGCCCGACCGCAATAGCGTGGATCTGGTCAGGCATGCGCATCGCGTGTACGGTAAATCCTTTCCGGTGGCGCATGATGCTGCCTTGACAGGTCGCGGAGACTTAATCTTGCATATGATTGCATATGTCTGGGGAAGCTTGTACCCGTCTCCGGTGGCTACACTACCACGCTTCGCCGTGAGTGATACGAAACGGCGACTGTGCATCGTGCATGTCGCGTGCGAGGACATGATGGTTGAAGGTACGATCTGTAGGGTTGTGCGGGACGGTTGAAACGTTCGAGCAGAGACACAAGTCTGAGAAATTGAGCAAGAGGTGAAAAGTCTGACATGTTGGAAGACATTTGCACTGACGCGCAGGATTGTCTAGACGCACGTACTGCGTAATCCGCCTTTCACCCCCGCGCCATTTCCAAACAATCCCCCACGCACTGGGATACCTATCAGCCTCCCGAAATCCTCTCGGTCAGATCTTCGCTTTTGCATCAGCCGGCGGCAACAGCTGAACATCCTTCCACGGCAATCCCAAGTACTCCCACATGTAATGGAACCTATATGGAATACCCGTTAGCGCGCCCCACAGCTCTCGAGTGTTCGTTCGCCATGTTTCAACCGTTCGCAGCTCATCCTGTATCCGTTACGGCACCTCCCCCGTAGCGGGCGCCTTACCGAACATGAATGTACTAGTAAAGGTCCAACCTCGTCGACCCACAACGGAACACACGAGCATGCTAAGCAAAAGGCAGGGCCGGGGACACAGATGAGAGAGCACGTACCTATCACTGCCAAAGAATGGCTCTTCTTCCCCTTTCGAGTTACGCACAAGGAACCATGGGCAGCCAAAGGCACCCCGATCGAGGGCTTCCTTGGTATTATCGTTCAGCTGCTGCTTGTATGGCGGGCTGTTTGCTTTCGCCATGACTTCCCGGGCTTCGTCTTCCTTTAGACGCTGGTTTAGAACTTCCGCAAGTATCTCCGGCTTACTGACATCCTTGCCGTTTTCCCACATTGCATGGTAGATGTCATGGAAGATAGCGACGAAGCTCACCCCATGTGCTTCTTTCACGTAGCATAACGCCCGCTGTGGTAGCAATGAGAGGATCGGAAAGAAAGATGGTGTCTGCAGATTGGGAACGCCAAAGTGGTGTTTCGCTCGCGCGCCATCATACTGGCTGTAGTTCGCCTTTGCTGGCAGGGTCCACGGCGGCTTGTTGCCTGCGCTGCAGTGTCAGGACTGTTTTGGCATAGCGAGTACCGGATTTCCAGGCACTCCATATGGGAGGGGATGAGGGAGTGTTACCGCTGCCGACATTGATACCCCCTAAAAAGACGGGCACTATACTGTATGAAGTCAGTGATCATACTTGCTCTCGGCGAGAGCGCAGTCTCGTTGGTAGGGTTTCAGAGAAAGGAATTCGTCTCGAGCTTTAGGTAATGAAACAACGGGTACTAACTCGATCTCTACATTGTGCGCTTCGAGAGTCGGCTTGTTCTTCTCCAGGTGCAGTAAAGCGTAGTATGAGTATGGAGATACTAGTCCATAATTAGCATGTGATGTCGATCAAGAAGACAGTAAGTACGCACCGCAATCTAGATAGCACGTAATTTTGCCTGCCATATTCGCACTACGTCCAAACGTACGAGATGAGAAATCAAGGCCGTACTTGTAAAGATGCTGGCCCTGTCTTATGCGCGTCGTCGTTGGATCGGCGCACTGCCCAGGTGTCTTGGCTGCCGAGGTCTAGCATGGCCGGACTTTATCACTAATCGCAACCACACCTCCGCCTTTCAGACCGCGAATGATGCGGATACCCCGGATTCTCGCCGCGCAGCTTATGCGTACCGCAGATGCAGCGCAATATGCATTGACCGAGGTTATAGATTGAATGCTGATTGCAATGTCATGTCTGCATGCCTTCCGTAGGCGCCTTTTGCTGTTAGCAGCAAGCAACAACTCTCCCGGCGCGACGTGACCTTCAACACAAGACGATACACTCTCTCCACCATGCCAACGTCCAACAAACAAGTCGCACTCGTCGTCGGCGCTTCACGAGGCATCGGTCGGCAAATCGCCATCGACCTAGCAAAAGACAGCTACGCAGGTGCACATAGCAACCACCTCCTCCGTCCAAGAGTCACAGCACTAACAACAACGCAGTCGTCGTAGCCGCAAAATCCACCTCCGACGCCTCGAAATGCTCTCCTTTCCCACCCGACCCAAACTCGCCGGCGTCCACCATCTCCACCGTGACCCGCGAGATCCATGAGTCAGGCGGCGAAGCCACGGCCATAAGCGTTGATACACGAGACTATACCAGTATAGAGCGCATGGTCGCCGAGACAATAGCCAAGTACGGCCGTCTGGACGTACTTGTGTATAATAGCGGCGCGATTTGGTGGGCAAGCGTGGCCAAGACCCCGATGAAGCGGTTCCAGCTCATGCAGCGCGTGAACGTCGAGGGGCTGTATGGCGTCATACAAGCCTGTCTTCCGCACTTTGAACAGCGCGATGGGGCGTGGAGGGGCAGGATTATCGTTGTTAGTCCGCCGATCTACTCGCGCTTCTTCCGCGGGAAGACCGCGTATGCGATGGGCAAGGTGGGTATGTCTGTTCTGACAAAGGGGCTAGCCACGGATTTCCAGCGCGAGGGGAAGAGCGAGATGGCGGTTACAAGCATTTGGCCTGCGACGGCGGTGCAGAGTGCTGCGACGCAGAATATGGCCCAGGAAGATGCCAAAGATCTTAGGACTGCCAATGTTTTCTCTGATGCGGTGTTGCAGATGATCAAGGCGCCTGTGGAAGAGGTGAATGGAGAGTTATTGCTTGATGAGGATTTCTTGCGGATGAAGGGGGTTAGTGATTTTGAGAAGTATAATTTGGTGGAGGGGAGTAGGCCGAGGAGGATTATGCCTGCGGAGTTTCCGGATTTGAGAGTCAAGGAGCAGGATGATGAGGGGAGGAGAGTTGACAGTACGAAGCTTAGGGCTTCGAAACTTTAATTAAAGTCGTGATGCTATCTACCTACTAAGTGAGTACTACATTTCCGTACTTATTGCAATAGCCAGTGTTCGTGACAAGGCATCGCAAAGTACGAAAGACCTGGATGTCCACGTACATTGTCAGCGACGATTGAAATAGTCCTTGGCTGCGATCCAGCCCGCATCCCAACCCTTGTTGTAGCCCCTGGACTTTCCTGCATCGTACTCTTTAGTAAGCCTCGGTGTGAACTCGCGCTCAGCCGTTTCCACTCCTCGGTCGAACTCCAGTTTGAGACGGGACTCCTCATCCTTTTGAGACTTCGAATTCGCTTGACGCTCATCGGCTTTTCCTCTAGCATGGCCAACGTCGTATCCTTCGGACCATCCAGCAGCATAACCGAGTCGCTCTCCTACAGCCAGGCCTTTGTCCTCGCCATCGCCGTACCCTTCCTGGTAAAATGTGGCGCGCCCAGCCTCATCGCCAAGTTGCCGTCCCTCGGCACGTCCTTCGGCATAGCCTTTGGCGTGTCCCTTCTGGTGGCCCTGAGAATGACCCGCATCCCGACCTTTCTGGTAGCTTATGGTGTGGCCTTCATGGCTCTCTACCAAGCCTGCTTCACGACCCTCGTCGTATGACTCGCGTTTTGCTTCGAGCACTCTGGCCACATGTTCGCGCTCAGCATCCTTGCGTCCAATGCTGTAGGACTGGTCTTCTTCTTGTTCCTGTCCCTCAGCATAGCCCTTTCGGTAGCCGATACGATGGCCTAACAGTTGACCTTGAGTCTTTGCCTCTGCGATGGCCATAGTTTCACGAGCTTTGTTTTCTTGTTGCTGCAGTGTCCAATTGCTCAGTCTTGCTTCTTCGAGCAGCATGGGTTTGATCTGCTCAATCCGTTCCTCAAGGTAGACTTCCATAGCCCTTTTCATCTCCGCTCCGGTCAACTCCCCGCCTTTCATTGAGCGCCACTCTCGTTTCTCGACGAGGAAGTGTTGTTTCTCATCCTCTAGTATTATCTGCTCATGTCGTATCTGAGAAAGAAGCTCGGCAGCTTGTGTCTGCTGTGTCTGTGTCGCCATGCGCTGCTCAGAGAACTCGCGTTCATGCTCCTTTCGCTCATCGTCTGTCTCCCGGATGAGGTTCGCAAGCTTGTTAATGGGCTGACAGAACTGCTGTTCCCATTTGTTGAAAGCTGATTGTGGCGTGTTCTTGCGAGCTGTCAAATTCTGCCTACCACGTTCTGCTTTGTCGATTCTGCTCGCCACATCCAGAACAGCACTGCAGAGATCCTGGTAAGTCTTTGACTTCGCTTCGTCTTGCGCTAGTCTTGCCTCGGAAGCTGCGAGATGATCCTTGCGCTTCTTCAGAGTGGCGATCCTTACTTCGACCTCCCTCCTCCTGATACTGATGTCTTGCTTGACAATCGCGACCTCCTCAGTGACCATAGCGGTCAGCTTCTCGTCGAACTCTTTTCGCGCAGCATCCAACTGAGCAATGGCCCTCAGATTATCTTCCGCTCGTCTCATCTCACTGCTCACTGCCCTTCTCTCCAGACCCTCGAAACTTTTCTCGAGCCACTCAATGTAGTCGTGACATTGCTTGATCTCTTGATTTAGACTGGTGCTGTGCCTTGGGCGAATAGGTCGAGGAGGTTGGTCATCTATGGCAAGCGAGAGTTGAGGGAAGAAGGATCTTGTGATGGAGACTCTGCCGTCTGGAATGGATCAGTCTACAGGTGATAAACCGAAGTAGGAGGATGTCATAATACCTTCGTGAATTGTGACGGAACGTCCGCTGCCGTCGACCTCTGGACCCGCTAAGACTGCTTCAGTTGCAGCGGGTGATTGAGGTACAGCACCGCCGTCGGCGGTGTCTGTGGTAAGCCCTGGCATCGCGTACTCTCACTCCCGGCCGCGTGACCAGTGTCGCGAAGGACGATAAAGAGAGACAAACACACTCACTCCGGCGTGTAGCTGGGTGGCGAGGTGACTGAGAGAGTGCTGTACGAGGTGAAGGGACGGACGAGGCAAAACTTGGCGCGAAAAGATGAGACCTAGCGACGCAACAGAAGAGGAAGGAGCAATGCTTGGCGCGCAATAGAGCGCGCGAGCAGCGCGTCAAATACGGAACAACAGGGTCGCGCAAGCTTGAAGAAGCTAAGAGGCGTCTTCCAAAGAGCAATCGAGTTCCTCGTTTCTAGTTCATAGAGAAACATGTACTCCAGAAGCACTCACCCCAGGGCTTCGATTTGTGCCAATGTGCACGTGACTTGCTCAGTCCATCGCGAGTACTGACGTGTGCAGATAGCCGGCCTATTGTGGATACACTGAGCTCTTCATAACTAGAAAGAACCACGATCCATTGGAGACAAATCTGTCTGCCGATGACACGTGCAAATGAAATTACTTTATAGAGAACTTTGATAAGAGAATGATCACTACATTCGGGGAAAGAAACGGACAGACAAGAGACTTGACGTGACGTGACGAAAGACGAAAAGATGGGAATCTCAGAAACAGAAAACGCGAGGTTTATGCATTAGCTCACCCATCTCTCCAGTTCATTCAATCCATTAGACACTCAACCCCGATATTACTCCATCATGACGTACGGAGACTGCCAACCCTACCACCAAGTCCTCCTTCCATCATCCTTCAATCCAGCCCTATGCGAATGCCCGATAAACACCATGCTTGCTGGAAAGAGATTAAATCGCAAAACAAAAAAAGACAGTTCTACTAGTACAGGGAGCGGTCGTAGATGCAAGAATCAGCCGTAGAGGGCCGGGGACGCTCGATTGAGATCTTGTAGAAGGGTATAAACGCAGGGACCTGGTATGTAATGCACGCTGTAACATGTATGCCGAAACGATATATGCGTGTGCGGAATTCGAGGTGGTGTGAAGACGTTCTGCAACACCGCGGTTCGAAAACAGTATGGTTGCAAAGCTCAAGCGCTTTAGGATATTTCTGACGACGAGGTTAGAGGGCGTGTGGTATCTATCCTTCTAATAGAGGCGTCCTCGGCTGGCCTGGCTTGCTCTGCTGGGCGACGTCCGGCTCCTCTCATCTTCCTCGGGAACGTCACTCAGTCTTGTTGGATGGTGATGTCTCATGCCTACCCACTCGTCGCCGTAGCCATCACCACTGTAGTCGGGTGCACCGCCAGCGGTAGGGTGACCCTGGCGTGACGATCCCGCGCTCGAACTCGTGGCGTAGGCACCTGAAGATGTGGCAGTTGTGCCGTAGTGTTGCAGATGCTCAAGCTCACGTCGACGTGCATCTTCTACATCATACTCATCAGATACTGGAGACTGAAGCGATCGGAACGGAATGCGGCGACCCGAATCATCGCGGATGAAGTTGCCTCTCTCGTCCAGGGCGTACTCGATGTCGCCTTCAGACTCCTCCGCCTGAGACGTGACGTACGACTGTTCGTCCTCTGGCAGACCAGACTCAGACTCTTGATGTAGGTATGAACCTGGCTGCTGGTAGAACGCCTCAGGCTGAGACATGGCCGGTTGTGCAGGTGCTTGCTGTGCCTGAGACGTGTAGTATGGATACTGTAATGGAGCAGGGGCTAGTGACTCGTCCGCGACTGAAGAGCCACCAGGTCGAGAGGAGGCAGCGGATGCTGCACCTGATGGGACGTAGGTTCCTTGAGCCACGTGTGCGGGGGGTTCGGGCTCGCGGTGCGCATGGCGAGCGCCTTCCGTGAAGGGATCGGTGTCAGTTGGAGACTGACCTTCCTCATACGAGTAGTGCTGTTCTATACCCGAGCCACTGCTCTGAGCACCAGCGTATGTGTCGTCCCCATGACCCCTCCCTTGACGCCCCATGTTCTGCGCCATTGGTACCACTTGCACTCCGCCGACCAACGTAGGCTGCCCTTCTCGGAGTGAGAACGTGCGATCCCGTTCCTCTTGCTCCCGTCTTCCAAGCTCCTCCCATGCTCGGCGTGCTTCCTCTTTCGAGATTTGAAGCTCACGCTTCATCTCCGACACCGCTCTTTCGGCGTTCTTCTTCTCGGTGGCCATGCGTTCCATGTTCGCCTCAGCCTCAAGTCGAGCCTCCTGCTCCGTATTGATTTGTTCCGTCAGTTGAGCCTCGCGCTCTTGGGCTCGTTCCTGATCCTGGCGATGCTCGTAGAACCATCTCTGGAACTTGCGCTCGGAAGATGCGCGTAGGCGCTGCAGCTCAACAACAGCATGGAAAAGGTTGGCACCAGCTGCCGACAAGTCGGTGATCTGGCGCGACATCTGCTGAGCCAGCGGCTCCCTGCGAACTTCGTCGGTATTCTGCTCAAGCCGCCGTATCCAGTAGGAGGTAAGACCTTCCCAATGCGAGGATAGTGTTTCCCAGCGTTCAAAGGCATGCGGAAAGTTGGATGTGGTTGACTCGCGAACCTGTCCGGAGGACGAGCCTGGCGGAGGTGGTGGGCGAGCTGCAGCGGTGGAAGGGCCTGCTTGTGATGAAGCTGCTGTGGCACCAGACGGTCGCCTCGCATGCCCTGAGCCAGCTGGCCGTCTGCCTTGTTCCGCCGTCGTTGGTAGGCCTAGGTTGGCCTGGGCGGGTCGAGACTGCTGCTGCTGTGCTTGCGAAGCTGCCCGGGGTCTGGATTGCGATGCGCCAGTAGTGGTCTCCTGCGCTTCGCTCATGGTGTTTTGTGATGGGATCGGCCTCTCTGGCTGACGAGGCACTCCACCCGATGATGTCGGGTATTGTACATACTGGTCGCCAGATCTCAGAGCTGCCGATTGGGGCTGCCTCTGGGTCCCGGGCTCCGTTGTTGGTGCTCCAGCTACACCAGAAACAGCTTGAGCTCTTCTTTCTGCGCTAGCTCTCCTGCGCTCCTCCTCAGCGGCCTTCCTTTGTTCCTCCACCTCAGCCCGTTGCCGTCTGGCGTTCATGATCTGCGTTGGCGTGCGTATGTTGGACCTGTCAACGGGCACAGGACCGCCTGTTGTGCGCGCGCCGCCATTGGCAGCGCGGCCACTTGTTAGATCGGACATGAGGGCGTTCTCTTCGACCAGATCCGGGGTGAAGGGATGCGGAAGTCGGAGTCCCTCTTCGAGCACAAAACGTATTGCCGAGGCAGTACGTTGACTGACGCGAAGGGCGGGGTGAGGCTCGGCGTAGGAGGTCGAGCGAGGGCGAGGTGTCTCGAAGCGAACGCGCTGCTGCTGTTGGCTCGGATCGACAGATCTCGCGCGCTCGAAGTTGGGCGTGCGGCGAAGACTGTTTGCGACGCTGCCGGTCGAGCTCGATGCTCTCGAGCGATTGTGCTGCGTGCGATAGAAGGCGTCGGCTTGCTCCTGGCGTAGCTGGAGGGAGGTTCGGTATTCGAACAGTGGCGCTGGGCCGTGGCGGTCGTGGTCTCGTGAAGATGGTTGTTGGAAGGGTAATATGTTGGCGAGCTCAGATGGGTCGCTGGACGTCACCGCGAAGTCAGGGACTCTCACTCAGGCCCAATTGCCCTTGCGCCGTCGAGGGGCACCCGCCGGGTTGGAGAAGATACCCAGCGGCTGGTTCTCTTGGGATTGGGTAAGCAACGCGCGACGGCTTGCTTATATCGAGAGGCACGAAAGCTGGCTGGAGAGGGTAATGTTAGAGACAGAGACTGCGGGAGGGCTAGCAGAGGAGCCATTGCTGCGGTGCGCCCTAGCAATTCCGCGCGCGAGGTAGGGTGGTTGGGAGGAGGTGAAGGGCTGGGAGGTGGCTGGGACGCTTCGTGAAATCAACTTACACCTTTCACCGACAGTCCATGAAACAGCCAATGTACGTGTCTGGATGCGCGATTGGTGACTATGTATGCGCTGCGCTGCGCTGTGCTGTCTTCGTGGTGCTGGTGGTTGTCCAATGCCTCGAGTTCTGCTGGCAGTGCCGAAGCAGACGTCACCGGACGAAAAGCTGGCCCTCAGCCCCAGCGCTCGGAAGCGCGGCGCCTGCTGCAACGCGCGGGTGGGTAGAAAAGAGTGACGGAAGAGACAGAGGGTCTCGTCTGGATATGCATTGAAGTCGCGCGGCTGAGCAATCGCGGACGTGTGGTAGCGCTTTGAGCGCGAGCGGAGCTTCACCCGGGAAGCAAATACGCCAAACGCTGATATTTGCTGATGTGGAGTCGCACTGACCGACGTGCAGCGAGATGCATGCAAGCGACTGCACTGGGACGAGGATAGCGGACGTCGAGTTGGTGACGGCTACGATCGATTGCCAGCGTGCCAGCTCATCGTGCTTGTTCTGCTAAACCTGGCATGGGGCCAAGGTACAGCGCGAGCCGGAAAGCGGAAAGCCCATCGCCGTCATGACCGGCCGAACGAAGCAAGGCATTAGAAGCCAGCAGTCCAAGATTACAAAGAAGTCATGTAGTTGATAGCTGGAGATTTATTTGGCTCACGCCCTCTCTCATGCTCGTGGTCGCGGTTACCTCATCGCACCTGCCCACCCGCATGCGCCTGCCAATCAGCCGAGTTGTGAGGAAGGAGCGGCCCGTCTCCAGCGGGTCAAATCGTCACAGCATCTGGCCACGAGCGTCGTGTCTCTTCAACCGGACACAAGCTGGCTTTCCCTAAAGGCCCGCATCGCAACGACCAGCTGATGATGAAGTCGTTCGGTATCTTGTACAGCCAACAAACATTCCATCATGTCCACCCCTGGAACCCGCATACACGACATGCAACTCCCAGCCTCGCCTATGCATTAGACCCATGATCCTGCAGCAACGGAAGAACAAGGAAACATACTGCAGACGTAACGTTCACTAGACCCACAGAACAGCTGTCATCGTCAGACGTCGCCCGTCCCATTTGCGATGAAAAGAGGACGGCACACTTTGCGCACACCGCCTCACAACCTGAATCGCAAGCACATCGGACCGAGGCAGCAATCGGAGA